TTGACTGCTTAGCTGTGGGACTAGGGAAAAGTTAATGGCTCCCTTATTTCTATGATTGTGCCTCCAGGCAAGATGATGAAAATCAAATGAAGAGAAGGTGTTTCCAACGTAGACATAAGTGTTGTTAATAACGAGCAGTGTACATTCCTCATATTTGGTCTCAAATGGGAAGTATCCATTTCATGTCTTCTCTTTGACTCATTTTACTTTAATTTCATAACTAACATCTGTTTGTATGACTCTAATAAAAGTAACTATTAAAGTTGGTATCACACAGCCCAGAAACAATAAAAAAAGTTACTTATGTCTCCTCCTAAGTAATGTATTCCCTCTCATTCATAACTGAAATCTCCATTTCTAAAATCTATGACATTAAGTATTCTTAACTATTAGTTTATAGATATTTTGTTTGCTGCAATTTTNATTAAATATTCTCGATTGTTTAGTTATAGATATTTTGTTTGCTGCAACTTTAAAAAATTATCACTTCCTTTTCCTGTAAGTTTTGTCAGTTTGGTTTTAGTACTCAGCCCTTCAGAAAGCAAGAAATGATAAAAATCAAATTTATGGGGATGATGTTATTAATCATGATATTACATCATGATAATTCTATCTTACAAAAGAGAATTTTTATCATGGCCATATTTAATTTTAAAATGAGTTTTGTTTGGTAATCAGCCATTCTCAGTCTGTTACAGCTGGAATATAGACCTTCTGTCTCATGTGGGAGCCTAAATAAGTTTTACCAAATACTCATTTCTATAAAGTAGAGCTGGTGAGAGCATTATGCAGACACCAGATAATTATAAAGGAAGCGGTTTTACCCTAATGGAGAAAAATAAGGTGGTAAAAACCAAACAAAGCATTCAGGAAATTTAAAGAAGTTTATTAGCTAGACTGTTGTGAAATGTTTGTATGAGCATAATATACAAATGCATTCAAGGCAGTTTTAAGTGTGCAAAGAACTTTGAGAACTTGGCTATGATAAATTGGATTTTTTCAAATTGTATAACTGGTTCAAACTTTGAAAAAAGATGCTTTATTTTAGTTACATTTAAATTCCCTTTACATTATTCCCATATGTTTATTCTGATTTGTAGATTACAATTATTTATTCGTCAAATGTGATTCAGATGACAAAGGGAACTTTTTACTGTCTTTAATAGTGCCTAGTATTTGATCTGTTTAAAAGAGAATTAAGCCTAAATTTGTCCTTTAAAAAATGCATTAAAATGAACAAAATACAGGAACTAAAGCCTTTTGGTAACTTAAATAGAAATAAAACTCGAGTGGTTACACAAATGAAGTATGTATGGAAACAGCACTAGAAAAAGTATGACATTCAGCATCAGAAATCTAAGGTTCAAGTCTTTGGTCATATATTGATCCTTTTGTCTTGATGCTCTAAGAATCCCTTGTCTATCAAATTAGAGTGATGATATCACCCCCACCCCATTTCAATGTGGTTGTATTTTAAGAAAGTATATTTGAGACATTTCCTAATTCTGAAGAACTTCTGTATGAATAGAAATTGTCAGAAACCAGAAGCTTTTCTGAGAAAAATAATAGATTATTCTAATACTCTGCATCTAATGCTAATAATGTGTAGCATAATTCCTGAAATAAATGTTGCTGCTCTTGGACAAATGAATGAATGATGAATGAAAGAACGGCAGTCTAGGTCCTACATCCAGAAAAATCACTTGCATATAAAAGCTAAACAATTCTAAAATGTGTTATTATCAATACTTACCAAACAATTGTATCACAAACACTATGTTTTAGGCACTAATCATTATTGGATACACAGTAAATAAAATGAAAACACATTATCCTTGCTGTCACAGTGTTTGTAGTCTAGAAGAGAGGAAAGATAAAACTAGTAAGCATAGAGATCCTGAAAAGTTGGGATAAGAGCTTAGAAGAAGTTGAATAAGATATCTGTGGTTGAAAATAACATTTTATAGATTAGGTTGGGAGAGAGGGAGTCCTTGAAAAAAGTAATGGAGTCCTCTGTGTGAAAGTTATATTAATGCTGGGATGAAGTGTGAGGAGAATGTGTAGAATTGTTGCAAGTCTTTCAGGCAGATAGAATGTGTGTGAAGAGCTTGCATTAGAAAATAATTTGGGTGTTTGGAATTGGTAATTAAAAATTATTATGAATAAGAAGTTATAAACCAATGAACATTGCTTGGCTTAAAATATTGTTAATATTAGTAGAAACATTTTGGTTTCTTTAGCATAAGAAATTTCTTCTATATTACTACAGAGATAGCTCCTACTTTCATGTTTGGGTTCCACATAAGTTAAATGAACAAAACCTTCTTGACCATATTTCTTCATGCAATTCTCTACTGAAATGTGATGAAAACTTTCCATTTTTTGAAAAAAAAATTATGACAGGCAATGAAAAGTAGATACTGTATAATAATATGGAATATAAAAGATCATGGGACAAGCAAAATGACACCAACCACACCAAAGGCTGGTCTTCATCCAAAGAAGGTGATGTAGTGTATATAGTGAGACTGGAAGGAACTCCTCTATTATGAGCTTCTTCCAGAAAACCAAAGGATTAATTCCAACAAGTACCACTTACAATTAGACCAACTTAAAGCAGCACTCAATGGAAAGTGTCAGGAATTAGTCAACAGAAAGTACATAATCTTCCATCAGGATAATACAAGACCTCATGTTTCTTTGATGACCAGGCAAAAACTGTAACAGCTTGACTAGGTAGCTCTGATTCATCCACCATATTCACTAGACAGTGCACCATCAGATGTCCATTTATTTCAGTCTTCACAAAATTCTCTTAATGGAAAAAGTTTCAATTCCCCTGAAGACTGGAAAAGGCACCTGGAAGAGTTCTTTGCTCAAAAAGGTGATAAGTTTTGAGAAGACGGAATTATGAAGTTGCCTGAAAAATTGCTGAAGGCAGTGGAACAAAGCATTGAATACATTGTTCAATAAGGTTCTTGGTGAAAAATGAAAAATGTGTCTTTTATTGTTCTTTAAAAAACCAAAGGAGCTTTTTTGGTCCACCCAGTATACCCAGTGATCATTTTTGGATATGAGAGTTGGACCATAAAGAAAGCTGAGCACCAGTCAATCGTAAAGAAAATCAGTCCTGAGTATTCATTGGAATGACTGATGCTGAAGCTGAAGCTCCAATGTTTTGGTCACCTGATGCAACAAACTGACTCCTTAGAAAAGACCCTGATGATGGGAAAGATTGAAGGCAGGAGAAGGGGATGACAGAAGATGAGATGGTTGGAAGGCATCACTGATTCGATGAACATGAGTTTGAGTTGTTAGGTTAGATAAAAGGAAATTCTGCTGTTTGCAATAACATGCTGGACCTTGAGAGTATTATGCTAAGTGAAATAAGTCAGATGCAAAGAATCAGGGTATGTGATCAGCTTGTGCTCACAATCAAAATCAGCTTGTGCTCAAATTCCCTGATTAGCTGATGTGTTGGAATCTCCATTTTCAGCTTTCTGGTTCTAATTAGTCTGGGGGTTACATGCCAGGGGCATACTGATGCAGTGAACTTCTGGTTAAAGTTGCAGTCAACCTGGTGGGTGTTTTAATGTCTGCAAAAGTTAGGTACATGCTTCATACTTAGGGTTAGGTCTTTAAAACAGAATCTGGGATCTTTGTGATAGATCTGTTATGTTTAACTCTTTAAGCTATAGCCATAACTGCTCAAGTTATAGGTACTCTCCTGCCTGACTCTGCTGTCTTTGTTTCTGCATTTTTTACTTCCCCAAACATTAACTGCTAGGGGCTGTCCTTTGCTCTACATGGAGTCTGTTATGTTTAACTCTTTAAGCTATAGCCATAACTGCTCAAGTTATAGGTACTCTCCTGCCTGACTCTGCTGTCTTTGTTTCTGCATTTTTTACTTCCCCAAACATTAACTGCTAGGGCCTGTCCTTTGCTCTACATGGAGAGCCTAGGGAGTATGGTATATTTCTATAGCTGCTTTTCCCAATCAACAACAAGCAGGGACACAGAGCAATCTGTTTTGTCCCAGACCTACTGGGAAGGTCCTGCAGGCTCTTTCTCCGTTTCAGTTTGGGAATTTTGTGTTCCTTAAAGGCTTAATAGAAATATTTTTTTGTTTGCAATTTTTTCCCCAAAATTAATTGATGAATTTATTTGTTTGAGGATCTCAACTATCATTTACTATTGGTTTCTAATTTTATCAAATTGGAATCAATTGAAATATTACTTTTAGCTTTCCATATAGTCAATTTTGTGATGGCCCTATATATAGTTGAGAAGATGTATCTTTGCTAAATCTTTGATTCAAAATTCTATATACACATATTTACTAGTTCTTTAAATGTGACAGTCAAATCCATTAAATCCTGCTTTTTCTTTTTCTACTATATCTACTGATTTTTCAGAGACAGCCAAATAATTTAAGAGATCATTTTGATTACTCTGTATGCACTGTGCATTTTTTTCAATTCTAAGTTACCTCAAATCCTTTTAGATTTATAAACAAATCTATAGAATGCAGTGTTCTGTGAGTTTTAAATGAGTGAAGAATTTCCCTTCTCTTTTTTCATAGTTCACAGATTACTTTGCAATCAAATATGCTTCTATATGTTCTTCCAATAACCCCAGAATGATATCTAAGGAACCAATACTGTACTGATAAGAAAATGACTCAGGAAACATACGAGTTGGTCAACCTCATTCTTCTCTTAAAAATAAGGATATACTGAAATTTATATACATTGAAACTACTGAAAAAGAATATCTCATTTAGAATGTAATGAAGACCTTACTTTGTCTGCCTTACTCACTTTTAATTATGGGCAGTGCCTTGCCTTTAATGGGTATAGGCATTGAATCATGCCACAGGCACACTGTGGTTAACCCCTATGGGGCTAACACTTCTTTTCTTTTCTTTTCTTTTCTTTTTTTTTGCTGAACAGGGAAAAATAATACCAGGATTTCATATTACAAACAAGAAAAGTGGATACCTCACACCAGTCTATAGATGCATCTGGATTGTTGCAGAGCTTCCTATAAAAGCATTTCACATCTTGACTCTTCACTTCTGGACCAAAGAGTTCCTGTACCATCCTGTAAAACTTGTCATAGTCAATTGCGTCTGCATTGTAACAAAGCACAAGAACATCGTCAGAAAATTCAAAGGACTATACTGCATTTTTAGTTGCTTTTTTCTATTTTCTAATTTATTTCCTGGTGGTGATGGTTTAGTTGCTAAGTCGTATTTGACTCTTTGTGATCCCACGGGTTGTAGTCCACCAGGCTCCTCTGTCCATGGGGATTCTCCAGACAAGAATACTGGAGTGGGTTGCCATGCCCTCCTCCAGGGGATCTTTCCAACTCAAGGATCGAACCCATGTCTCCTGCATTGGCAGGCAGATTCTTTACCACTGAGCAACCTAGGAAGCCCAATCTATTTCCTTATTTCAACCTATAAAGACTTCTAAAGTTTAAAGATCTTTCCAAGGGAACATAACTAAGCTCTTGACTAGAATATTACGTAGTCAGAAAGAAATAATTTACTTTGGTGTTTAGTATCTCCTCCAGATTTTATTTCAATTATTTTAGAAGTCTTGTTCAGTAATACAAAGGTAAGAAAGTGAATTACTTCTTTCCTATTAGGAAGAAGTTTTACTAACAGGAGTATTTCCTCGAACTAATCTTGGGTAGATGATAAAAGTGAGCAAAGAGCATGTCTTCTTTTGTTTTGCTTTGTTTTTTTCTCACCAAAATTATTTTATTTTTTTCATTATGTCATTAGTTCATCTCAGCATATTTTAACATGTGATGTAAAGTAAGGGTGTTTCATTTTGGATTCTCTAAGAAGCAGACCCCAAGACAGATGCAGAATTGCAAGACATTTACTGGGGGTGGGGGGAACTCCTGTGAAAGAAAGAAGAATGGAAACAGGAGTATGTGATGAGAGAGTTCAGCTCATAATAAAGTTCTGATACATGTTAAGGGAAAGAGAGGTGAATTCATTCAACACATGAAAGACAGGTCTCCACACCACCTTTCAATGGAACTCCCACAGATCCTGAGCCTTCACTTGCCCCTTAATCCTCTTAGGTCTCAGCAAAGAGATTGTTACTGGAAGTGCGTGTGGTATCAACCTACCTGCAGGTAGCTTGGTTCCCAGAATTCTCCTGCCCCTACACCCTTGTAATGCATTATTTTTCACAGTTTATCCCAATCCTTTACATGCAGAGCACATTCAATAATGTTCTTCATATCTACTGTCATTATTTGTGTAACTTTCCTCTTTCTCTTTACCATTTGCAGTTGTTCTGTAATTGTTGAAAGGCTCCAATCTGTTTTGCACTATCTCTTCTAAAACCTCTCTCCTTGAAATAATTTTTACTAATATCAAATTTCCTAAAGTCTTGGATAACATCTGATTTTTCCTGACTTTTCATCATCAACTTGCCACATGCTAGACAAAGTGGGAAAAAAAAATCTGGACTCTAGCTGTATGCAGGTCAGGAAGCAACAGTTAGAACTGGACATGGAACAACAGACAGGTTCCAAATAGGAAAAGGTGTACATCAAGGCTGTATATTGTCACCCTGCTTATTTAACTNCATAAGTCCATCCTAAAGGAGATCGGTCCTGGGTGTTCATTGGAAGGACTGATGGTGAAGCTGAAACTCCAATACTTTGGCCACCTGATGCAAAGAGCTGACTCATTTGAAAAGACCCTGATGCTGGGAGGGATTGAGGGAAGGAGGAAGAGGGGACAACAGAGGAGGAGATGGTTGGATGGCATCACAGACTCGATGGACACGAGTTTGGGTAGATCCTGGGAGTTGGTGATGGACAGGGAGGCCTGGCGTGCTGCGGTTCATGGGATCACAAAGAGTCAGACATGACTGAGCGACTGAACTGAACTGAGCTGAGTTTTCTTAATTATTGATTTTTTTGTGAGCCATACTAGTAATTTAACATTTCTAACTTTCTACTTTCCCACCTATTAAATGGGCATAATTACAATCACTATGAAGAACAACTGTTGACTATTTGATACTGTAACCACACAGGTACACAACCCACACCATTGACTGAATATTGATTTTGACAAATTTCGTGATTCACTGGGGCATAGTTATTGAGTTACAGGACAACAAGGAGTTAGACACAAATATACATTAAGCAACTTATGTGTCAGAGCTGAGCTAGACAGTGGTCATAGAATGGAAAACTAGGTAGCCAAGACCCCTTCTTCTGGTAGTTTATATTCTAATGGGATAAATGGAAAATCAAGTGAATGAAATATTTACAGGCTAGGACAGGCAAGACTAATTACTAGAGATGGACATTGGATTAGTGGTTATCTGCATAACAGGGCCTGAGAGAACATTCTGGAATGGTAGAGATATTCTGTCTTGATCTAGTTGACACCTACAAGTAAGTTTACATATGTCCAAATGTATTGAGTTATGCACTTAAGAACAGTGCGCTTTCTGTGTTTTACTGTAAGTAGGTCATAGCTTAGTAACAATGTGAGAATCATTAAGTTGAGAGTGAGATAAATGCTCAGAAGGAAATCAATAGGGAGATGTGATATTAACAATTATCCTGTGCTGGTGGGTGAGGGTAGACCTGAGAGAATCCCTTTCTAAGGACAGGTAAAAAGCAACAAAGCTGAGACCCGATAAGCAAAAGGAGTCAGACCTATGCTAAAGCTTGAGAAGAGCATTTTAGGTAGAGGCTGACAAACACGAAGATGCTAAGGCAGGAAAGAGCTTGGTGCATTCTGGAAAGAAAGGTCAGTGATATGAAGTATAGTGAGGACTGGGGAAAGTTATCATGAGGTGAGATCAGAGAGGAAGAAGGGCCAAGTTAGTTAGAAGTTTGTATTTTATTCTAAGCATGATGGTGAGCTATCACTAGAGCGTTTGAAAGACCCTGGTTGCTATGAGAAGACAAGGATAAAAACTATAAAGTTAGTGAGGGGTTTGAGCATTTAGTTCAGGTTTCAGATGTGGAGGCTTAGGTCAAGATGATACATTTATGCCTCTTTTCTCCGTGCGTGTGTGCTCGGTTGCTCAATCCTGTTTGACTCTTTGCCACCCCGTGAACTGTAGCCTGCCAGGCTCCTCTGTCCATGGGAATTCCCAGGCAAGCATACCGGAGTGAGTTGCTGTTTCCTCTTCCAGGGGATCTTCCTGACTCAAGGATTGAATTCACATCTCCTGCATTGGCAGGTGAATTCTTTACCACTGATCCACTTGGGAAGCCCTCCTATTTTGTCCACTTTATTATTAATAACAACCCCTTCCATTCTTGAAAGTGTTCTCAGCTGGATGATAAGTGGTATAGGCACTGATGGTAAATAATTTGCCTGCAGTGCAGGAGAACTGGGTTCAATTCCAGGGTTGGGAAGATCCCTGGAGAAGGAAATGACAACCCACTCCAGTATTCTTGCCTGGAGAATTCAATGGACAGAGAAGCCTGGGGGGCTACAGTCCATGAGGTCACCCAGAATCAGACATGACTGAGCAACTCATATACACATATACACACAGGCACCACAGAGAGATCACTGAGATGGTGCGATATGGCTGGAAGTAGAATTGAAAGACTTGCTAATAGCTCGTAAGTTTGGGGGAGAGAATTTGTGAGTGAAGGACAAGCTGGATTCTAGAGTAATGGTTGTTATTGGGAGAGTTTGCCCTACCTCTCTCATAGGCTATTTGGCAATGTCTGCAGACATTTTTGATTGTTACAATGAGGGATGAGGATGCTTCTGACATCTGATGGGTAGATGCCAGAGATGCCACTAAATATTCTGCAGTGCATAAGATAGCCTGCCCCCACTCCTGGCCTCACACACATACACATAGAATACACATACAGACAGAACAAAGAATTATCAAGCCCCAAATGTCAGCAGTATCAAGGTTGAGAAACCTTGTTCTAGAATGACACTCATGTTTCTGATTTCAAAACTGAACAGATATTGGTACTATTTACCAAAACAGGTGCAAATGAGTAAGAGTCATATTTCTTGAGAAAAATAAACCATTCAATCTTGGTAATATTAAGTTTGAATTCATATGAGAGATCCAAATAGCTTAGCTATTTTAAATTTATACCAACTTGTACATATAGATGTCTCATTCTAAATGCCACTGGATAAGGAATGTAAGACTTTTCTTTCCTCAAATGATTTTAAGTATATTGGGTAATTAACAAGATGATTTAAGGGCAATATTGCACAGATGAACTCCTACAATATACTTGATATAGCTTTTGAGGTAAACAACGGTTCCATTAAGAAACATTCTCTCTAGTTCTCAGCTTCTTGCCTATCTTGCCTATGATGAGAGGTAGACCCGATTTGGAGCTTCCCAAGTGGCTCACTGGTAAAGAATCCACCTGCCAGGGAGGAGACACAGGTTCAGTCTCTAGGGTTGGGAAGATCACCTGGAAAAGGAAATGACAACCCACTCCAGTATTCTTGCCTGGGAATTCCCATGGACAGAGGGGCCTGGTGGGCTACAGTCCGTGGTATCTCAAAAGAGTCAGACACAGCTAAGCAACTAAACAGCAACAACAAAAATGAATGTATGCCAGTATTAGCATTCTGATAAAAATTCAGGTTACATTTCTCCCTTCTCAATCTTTTAGTTTAGTCCCTGTCATAAAGGTAATTTATCTAGCAGTACTTAGTTTTGATCAAATCTAATATGCATACATATACATATATAACTATAAACTACACTCACTAGTACATTACAATTTATATTATAATGTACTATAAAAATGTATGTATATATATATGTCTATAATATATATGTGTTCTCTCTCTCTAAACAAATATATATATACGTATATGTGTGTGCATATAAACATATATATTAGAGAAAGAAATTTTAAGTGTGGCCTTGTAATTGCAAGCTTATAGATTTAAGCAAGGTTTATTCGTTTAGCACACATTTAAGGAGCACTTCCTGGCTTCAGACTCTGGACTAACCCCGAGGTTACCAAGTCTTCAAAGCACTCACAGTTCAATGCTGGAAAGAAAGGGCAGGAATACACACACGTATATCAATTTCAACAAGTTAAGATCAACAGTAAATTCCTTGAGATGGCAATAAAGTGCATCAAACTTTCTAAGGGTGGCTTTGCTCAGGAAAAGTTCGGAAGTTTTTGTAAAGAAGTGACGTTTGATTTGGATCTTGAAAAATGAGGAAGTATTAATAGACCCTCCAAAAGGGAGGAAATGTACACCACTTTGCAGGGATGACACATGCAAAATCAGAGTCGTTAACAGTATGCCAGGTTTGGAAATGCTGAGAAGTTCATGTTAGGACAGAAGGTGCAGGCAGGGCAATTGCAAAGAGCTACAACTGGAGTAGGTTAGGGGATGATGTCAAGTTAACATACATGGATTTTAAAGGTGCTCTAACATACTAGGACTTTCCTGGTGGCTCACATGGTAAAGCGTCTGTCTACAATATGGGAGACCTGGGTTCGATCTCTGGGTCGGGAAGATCCCCTAGAGAAGGAAACGGCAACCCACTCCAGTACTCTTGCCTGGAAAATCCCATGGATGGAGAAGCCTGGTAGGCTACAGTCCCTGGGGTCACAAAGAGTCAGAAACGACTGAGTGATTGAACTGAACTGAACTGAATATACTAGGAATGTGGAAATTCTACACAGATTTTTAAAGGAAAATCTCCCAGCAGAAGTATACAGAAAGGAATCACTCTTGGCAAGAAGACCATTATATACAGAAGCTGTTATAATAACCCAAGAGTGAGATGCCGTGAAATAGAGAGTCAAAATTTATACCAAGACACCTAGCTTAGGAGATTAGGCAGTTGATGTCTATGCTGTAAGACTGAGAGAGAATACAAGCAAAGCTCAAGAGAAAAAGATGCAAAGAAAAAATGAGAAGAAGAAAAAATAAGAGGAGAGTGGTGTTCATAGGTGACACAGAAGAGAATTTCTAGAAGCAATAGCAGCTAACTGTTTATGCAGTGAAATGGCCAAGTAAGCTGGAAAATGTAAACAAATTGTTGAATTTGGCAGGCATATTAGGTGATCGAATACCTTGGTAAGAGGATTTTTCAGCAAAGTGATGAAGGAAGCCATACTTGATTGAAAATGAGTGGTGACACTATGGGGAAATTTAGCACAGAAGCAAAGGAAAAACATACAAGCTTAAAAGGAAGAGAAAGTCAAGGTAAGGATTGTCATCATAATTTTAGTTTTAGAGGACGAAAGCAGTGGAAAAGGAGGTTTTTGCAGTTGTTGCAGTAAGGTAGCAACAGCTCTGGAGGGGAGGAGGCATGGAAGAAAGGACAGGTATCGCTTCAGGTACTTTAGAAGTGGAAGAAAGAGAGTTTGAGAGAATTCTTATCCTTTGGCTTTGCTTTCACTTATGTTGGAAGCTTGACTGAGAGGAGGTGAGATCCTATTGAGGACTCAGAAAAAGTGCAAGGTTTTGGGAAATCAGTTACAGGGAGTTAAACTGACAAGGGGACTAGGGAAACATGAAAGCTTATTGAGTAGTTTAGAAAGCCCAGCCAAGTTCTCAATCATTTAACAAAAGCATATCTATTAATAAAAGGTCTGAGTCAACTCTAACACTTAGGAACTGAGTGACCTGAACAAATGATTTTTACGTATCTCTCATTCTTTAACAAATAAAATGGAGCTAATAGCAATAAGGAGCCTGGCAGACTAGAGTCCAGTTCAGTTCAGTCGCTCAGCTGTGTCCAACTCTTTGTGACCCCTTGGACTACAGCACACCAGGCCTCCCTGTCCATTACCAGCTCCCAGAGTTTACTCAAACTCATGTCCATAGAGTCGGTGACGTCACCCAACCATCTCATCCTCTGTCATCCCCTTCTCCTCCCACCTTCAATCTATCCCAGCATCAGGGTCTTTTCCAATAAGTCAGTTCTTCGCATCAGGTGGCCAAAGCATTGGAGCTTCAGCTTCAGCATCAGTCCTTCCAATGAAAATTCAGGACTGATTTCCTTTAAGATTGGCTAGTTTGGTTTCCTTCCTGTCTAAGGGACTTTCAAGAGGCTTCTCCAACAATACAGTTCAAAAGCCTCAATTCTTTGGCACTCAGCTTTCTTTGTGGTCCAACTCTCACATCTATACATGACTACTGGACAAAGCATGGCTTTGACTAGACATCCATGGGGTCGCAATAGTTGGACATGACTTAGCAACTCAACAACAACAAAAATAGCAATGACAGTAATATTTGCCTTTTAGAATTGTTATGAGAAGTAATTAAATTGTATTTATTAAAATGATTTGTAAATTCTTAAATACTATCAACTACAAATTGGCAGTTGCCAAGGGCATTTGCCATCTGCCTGCTGGGATTGAATCTGTACTGCTGTAGCATCTGACCTTTGACACTCCCTGAAGGGCGTTCAGGGTGGAGAGCAGGGGTTCCTAGGTGGCAGTAGTGGTAAAGAACCCACTTCCCTATACAGGAGTTGTAAGAGACTTGGGTTTGATCCCTGGGTCGGGAAGATCCCCTGGAGGAGGCCATGGCAACCCACTCTAGTGTTCTTGCCTGGAGAATCTCATAGACAGAGGAGTCTGGTGGGCTTTAGTCCATCGGCCACAAAGAGTAAGACAGGACTGAAGTGACTTAGCATGCAGGCACAAGCTCCAGGAAAACTGGTGGAACAGGTTTTTAGATAGTATTTTCAGGAACTGATTTAATGATCCCATTCCTTGCACTCTCCTCATATCTAGAAAAGTCCTAAATCTCTTAATGGTGACATCAGCTCCTTGTGACTAGCAGAAAATCTTTTGTAAGATAAGTGCTTGATTTCATGAACTTCCATTTCACCAAAATCTCATGTATTGACCTTCCCCCACTACCTCTTGGAGCAGTCTCTCAGAGGTATCTGAGGTGCTGTCTCCCAGACTGCAGTCCCCATTTTGCCCCCAATAAAATTTAACTCGCAACTCTCAGGTTGTACATCTTTTTTAAGTCAACAAGACTATTCAAATAATACTGGTTTGGGTTTGAACACCCAAAGTCAACATTTTCACTTATTTATGGCTACGTTGTCATTGTTGTTCAGTCACTCAGTCATGTCCTTCTCTTTGCAGCCCCAGGGACTGTAGCCCAGCAGGCTCCTCTATCCATAGGATTTCCCAGGCAAAAATACTGGAGTGAGTTGCCATTTCCTACTCCAGCCTGGCATATTAAGAGGCTGGCCCAGCTGACCCTCTAGCAGTTATGTGGGCCCCACTACTTTCCTGACAACAGCAGAATTTGTTCTGTTAGAATTTTACTCTACCATTAAGCCTTACTCTTCACTGCTATCCTCAATGATCTGAAGCTACACACTACAGCACTCCCCTTCAACCTTGACCATGGAGCTATACATTCAGTTCTGTGTTGGTATCTGATTCTAGTAATCCTGGCAGATCACTGCTCACCACCATCTCCTTACCTTGGCATGCTTGAAATTATTCCAGCCTAGAGACATGAGGAGAGGCCCAGAGAGTGAATCATGGTGAGGCAGGAAACTTTGCCTTACTTAAAAAATTCTTTATGATCTTTGACTGCCCCATGTTCACTGATCTTACCTTCTTTTTGGGTAAACAAGCCAGCTCTTTCATCTCTTTTCTGGGCTGCTAGGTGTTCAACCAATCTTTCAAACCCTTTCAAGGCTGTCCTGAAACTGCTAACCTGCAGTGCAGTGTTGATATGTTTTTCCTCCTTGATATCCATAAGAACATAGGGAATCTTTTATTTCTGTCCAGAAATAACAATGTAAATTTGCCAACTTGGAAAACCTCCCAGTTGTTGCAATGCCTCCCTGCTGCCCCAATTTTTGCCCTAGGTCTCATTCCTTTGATCTTAACATCCCATACTGTGGGTAGGAGTATAGCAGGGAAAACACTGACTTAGGTCTAATGCATTTCATATAGGCAAACACTTCAGTAAAACTCCTGACCTCATAATGTTACCAGTGTCCTTCATATGGTCCTTATTGCATCATAATACCTTTGTAACATCCTCCTTCCTTCATAAAGAGGAAATAGAGATTTCTTTCTCCACAAATTTGTGTGTATGTATGTGTGTGGGGGGGAGGGAGGTGTGGGGTGTGTGTGTATACACTGCCCAAGAGGAAAGAAAAATGGATAAAGGCCAAGTATGGAAACTGGGCATTACCTTCTCCCCCACATATCTCTTTTCACCTCATTTTGCCTTCCTCAGGATATGCCCTGGAGAGTAAAACTCATATTCATTCTTGCAGTCATACTTGATTGGATACCTGAACTTCTAAAGATGAAAATGTATTTCAGTATCTGACCTTTCTATGACAAATGAAGATAGTTTTTGAGGTCATAGAGAATAAAAATACTTTTTCTTCCTTTATGTATAGTCCTTCAATTAAAATAATAAAGCAAGTCAGTATGAGGAAGAGGTAGTTCCTGACTGAGAAGAAAGTTCTTTCAAGGTATCATTAGTTGAATGAGAAGAAGCTTTCTCTTTGTCTCCTTTCCTCTAATTGCAAGCTCCAAATACTCCAATACTATTTAGTGCAATTGCTATTGAATCAAGTTTTCCAATATTTAACTCTTTGTGGGAAGGAGAGATTGTCTAATATCTTATCCACCATGAGCTAACTTCCTATGCTTTAGATGAGTTAACTGAAGTTCATCTTTAAAAACATCTGCAAGACCTTGCATTCACAAGTGAGTCAGGTGGCATTGCTGGGTACCTCCAGTTGTAACACTGTCTCCTTACTATTCATCTCTGGCCACTAAAAAGAAGGACAAAATAAAACTTTTATGTAGGAAAAAAATCTCCTAATTTCTTTTGTTCCTTCTCTTTTCCCTTTAAAGCTTTCAAAGTATAGGTAGTGACACATGAAGGACCACTTTTCCTACCATTCTCATGCGTTCTCATTTTCATCCATCCATTCATTCAGCAGATATTCACTGAACACCTGCTTCATGTTAGATACTATTTTAGGCACTGAGGAAACAACATTGAACAAAAGAGCTTATTGAGCTTTCAGTCTAATGGAGAAGACACACAAACAAGCAAATAGGTAAATAATATGCCAGAAGGTGATAAGTACTCTAAAGAAAAAGAGTAAAAGTATGTTGAGTTGGGGGATAAGTCAAAGGACATGGATGAGGGATCAGAAAAGGACTCATTAATAAAAAGACACCTGGACACAAACCAGAGAGAAGTAAGGTAGCAAGCCATGTGGACAAATGGTAGAAAGGTATTCCAAGAAAAGCATGCATAAAATCCTGATATCAAACTGTGCTTAATATGTCTGAGAAACAACGAAGTAGTCATGTGACTGCGGTGATGTGGTGTGTGAAGAGAAGGTGGGGAGATAACATCAGAGAGTCAGACGTGGAGCTAAATCTGTTGAAGAACAGTCTATACAGTAATCACTAATCTGCTATTGAATAGAATGCTGATATCTGATTCACAATTGAAAAGGATTGTTTCAACTGCTTGTTAGTTGCTCAGTCGTGTCTGACTCTTTGCAACCCCGTGAACTGTAGTCCACTGGGCTCCTCTGTCCATGGGATTTCCCAGGCAAGAGTACTGGAGTGGGTTGCCATTTCTTTCTCCATTCAACTGCTTAGTAGAGATAAGTTGAAGGAGAGAAACAGTAGAAGCAGGAAAACCAACTAGGTGGCAATTTCAGTAATCCAAGTAGGAGATGATAGTGGTTTAGATGAAGATAGGACTAAGATGTCAGGCTGAATGAAGATAGATATGATAGAATTTGCTGATAGATTAGATGGGAATATGATAGCAAGAGAAGAATTAAGAATAATTCCAGGGATTCTTGGAGGACAGAATAGTTACTCACTTCTGGGGAGGAAGTCAGTGGGAGAAGGAGATTTTGAGGAGAGAATTAAGAGTTCAATTTGGGATTTGTTAAGTTTGAGATGTCTATTAGACAAACAATTGTGGATATTGAATAGTCAGACATAAAAATCTAGGGTTCAGGGGAGAGCTTAAAAATCATCAGCACTTGCTCTGCTGTGTTTAGTTGCTCAGTCATGTCCAACTCTTCGCAACCCATGGACTGTAGCCTGTAAGGCTCCTCCATGGAATTTGCTAGGCAAGAATACTGAAGTGGGCTGGTATTTCCTACTCCAGGGGATCTTCATGACCCAGGGATTGAACTCACATCTCCTACATTGGTAGGTGGATTCTTTACCACTGGACCCCTGGGAAGCCAACATCAGCACTTCGGTGGTATTCAAAGCCATTGGACTAGATGAGATCTCCTTGAAGAAACAAAAAAACTGAGGATGAAACCTTGAGCATGCCACTGTTCAGAGGTCAGAGTGATCAGGAAGAACCACTGATGGAAACTAAGTAGGAGTGGCCGGTGAAGTAGAGGAGTCAAGAGAAAGGAGAAACCAATTTCAGAAACCAAGAGGAGAAAGTGTTTTGAAAAGGAAGGAGATGTTGGAAAGACTAATAGTTTACTCAATAAAGAAATTCAGCTGTGCAAAGAGAACTGACATTCAGAACTTGAAGGTATGCCAGATTTTCTTAAAAAAAAAAAAAAAAGTTCAATTACATTCACTAACTTATGTTTCCTAAGACAGGAAATGGTTTAGATATATTTGGCCAGAATTTCCTCAAGGCATCTTTCTCTTCTCACTGGGGATCAAAGTTTAGACAGGCCTGGGAAAGATGTGCTCGTTGGAGACAGATTACTTGGTTGAGTAAGGGTCGAAGTTTCTCTTAGCTGTCATGTGCATGACACAGAAGGCTAAGGATTATCAGTGATTCCGAAAGAGAGTGGCAGATAAAACCTGTCTTCTTGGGGACTTCCCTGGTGGTCCAGTGGCTAAGACTCAGTGATCCCAATGCAAGGGGCCCAGGTTCAATTCCTGGCCAGGGGAGATCCCACATACCGTGACTAAAGATCCTGCTCCAATGCAGCAAAATAAATAAATTAAATTAAAGACAAAACACTCCCAAAAGCCTGTTTCCATAGACACTGTCATATTTTGGAAAAGATTTGTTTGAAATATAGAGGTTGTAATGAATTAATGCTCCAGTGTGGGAGGATACTAAAATAGACTACTTTCTGTCTCGCCAGAGGTTCCAAGGTACAATAGGCTTGAAGAATTCCATTTTTTTTTTTTTTTAAAGAAAAAGGGCTATACAGCCCATGAAGGATGATGTACAGAGGCATTGAGAAACCAATTCTTCACACGTTAGTCTGTTCTCTCCTTCAGAAGGCTTAAGAGAAGGCAGGTTCATTACGAGGTTGCTGCTGCTGCTGCTTCTGCTGCTGCTAAGTCGCTTCAGTCGTGTCTGACTCTGTGCGATCCCACAGACAGCCCACCAGGGTCCCCTGTCCCTGGGATTCTCCAGGCAAGAACACTGGAGTGGGCTGCCATTGCCTTCTCCAATGCATGAAAGTGAAAAGTGAAAGTGAAGTCGCTCAGTCGTGTCCACTCTTCACGACCCCACAGACTGCAGCCTACCGGGCTCCTCCGCCCACGGGATTCTCCAGGGAAGAGGACTGGAGTGGGGCGCCATTGCCTTCTCCAATGCATGCAAGTGAAGTCGCTCAGTCGTGTCCACTCTTCACGACCCCACAGACTGCAGCCATGCATGCAAGTGAAGTCGCTCAGTCGTGTCCACTCTTCACGACCCCACAGACTGCAGCCCACCAGGCTCCTCCGCCCACGGGATTCTCCAGGGAAGAGCACTGGAGTGGGGCGCCATTGCCTTCTCTGATGACAAGGCTGAGGAGACCCTTTTAATGAACGCCTCCAGAGAAAACTTTTAGAGCAGTCATGTGTCCACAGCTTTGGGAGGAGCCCTATTGGAGAAGACTGCCTGGAGGGTCTAGGGGACCCTAATCAGGGTCGGAGAGGGAGAACTAAGGCTCCAGCTGACAGAGAGGCACTGTCCTTGTCAACAGAGTTGTGGGGAAAATATCTCCAGCAACCTCAGGTCCTCTGGAGACTCCACAGATCACCCCAGGAGAGAAAAACGCAGACTGAAAATTTGCATAAGCAGAGGGCACCAACATCAGATGACAACTTTACCAATCAAGGAGGATTTTCCTCAAAATCCCAGAGGGGCCCAGAGCAGCATCAAAGGTGGTGCTTAAGGAAATGGGAGAAGCTGGTTGTTGTTTCCTCCACTCCTACCTCCCCACCCCCGAAAAGTTTTCCAGGTTACAGCATGCTCTGTTTTAGAGGACTGACAGATGAGTTTTCTATGAGTTTTAATGTGTCAGTATTACAATATTCCAGACTTTCTATTACTTGAAACTGATTAGAGAGGCTTTGAGAACTGAAAATGTCAACCAAGGGCAGTGAAGAATAGGTGGAAAGACAATACTTGAAATGAGTAGTCCAAAGAGAATAAAATTACTTTTTGCTTGCACTGTGCTGGACAAAGGAGCCTGGCAGGCTCCATGGGGTCGAAAAAGAGTGGAATAGGACTTAGTTCACTCAGTAAATTGGTTACATTTGCATATACTTTTCCTACTTTGGGGGAGTGAGATGCAGGCATAATTAGCATATGCTTTTTATTGCATTAGAATATACATCAACAAAATTTACCATTTCAATCATTTTAAATGTACAATTCAGTGGCATTAAGTAATTCACAATTTTGGGCAACCATCTCTACTATCCATTTCCAGAACATCTGCATCACTCCAAACTGAGGTTCTGTACCCATTGACCACTAATTCCCCATTTCTTCCTCCCCTCTTGTGACTACTACTCTACTCTCTGTTACTATGAATTTGTCTATTCTAGGTACCTTTTATAAGTGGAATCTATAATATTTGTCCTTTTGTATCAGGCTTACTTCACTCAGCCTAAGGTTTTCAACGTTCATCTATGTTGTAGCATGTATTGGAATTTCATTTATTTCCATTACTGAGTAATATTTCATTGTATGTACATACCACATTTTTTATTCATTTGTCTATTAATGAACATTTGCTTTATTTCCACCTTTTGGCTATTGTGAATAATACTGCTATGAACACTTGTGTACAAATACATGTTCCAGTCCCTGCTTTCAATTCTTTTGGCTATACTTCTAGGAGCAGAATTACTGGATCATTGATAAATGTGCTTAACTTTCAGAGGAACTGCCAAACTGTTTCCACAGTGGCTACACCATTTTTCATTCTCAGTAGTGGCACAGCAGGGTTCTAACTCCTCCACATTCTTTCAATGCTTTCTAGTTTCCTTTTTGTTGCTGTTTTTAGTTTTTTTTATAATAGCCATCCTAGTAGGTCTGAAGTGGTATTTCACTGTGGTTTTGATTTGCATTTTTCTAACAACTAAAGACCCTTTATTTTAAATTTTATTTAAATTTTAATTAAAAGATGCTCCCAGGAAGGAAAACTATGACAAACCTAGACAACAAATTAAAAAGCAGAGACATCACTTTGTAACAAAGGTCTATGTTGTCAAAGCTATGGTTTTTCCAGTAGTCCTATATGGATGTGACTATCAAGAAAACTAAGTGCAGAACTGATGCTTTCAAATTGTGGTGCTGGAGAAGACTCTTGAGAGTCCCTTGGACAGCAAGGAGATCAAACCAGTCAATCCTAAAGGAAATCAACCCTCAATATTCACTGGAAGGACTGATGNTTCAAACTGTGGTGCTGGAGAAGACTCTTGAGAGTCCCTTGGACAGCAAGGAGATCAAACCAGTCAATCCTAAAGGAAATCAACCCTCAATATTCACTGGAAGGACTGACGCTGAAGCTCCAATACTTTGAGCACCTGATGCAAAGAATCAATTCATTGAAAAAGACACTGATGATGGAAAAGACTGAAGGCAAAAGGAGAAGGAGGTGGCAGAGGATGTGAATTGGCTAGCTAGCATCACTGACTCAATGGACATGAATTTGAGAAAACTTCAGGAGACAGTGGAGAACAAAGGAGCCTGGCATGCTATAGTCCATTTCCTTCCATGGTTTCCATTTCCTTCTCCCTGGGATCTTCCCTACCCAGGGATCAAACCTGTGTCTCTTTCATCTTCTGCATTAGGAATTGGATTCTTTACAACTAGTGCCATCTGAGAAACCCCAAGTATAATAGATAACCTTAACAATTCATAGTATTATAAAAACAAATCTACCAAAATTCTTAAACATTTGCCAAAAGCCTCTTATTCTTTTTTTCCTTCACTATTATTCCTCTTACATCGGCATTGCCTTGGACTTTAAAGCCAAAGTCATTTTACTAAAATAGCCAAGAACCTGAGGCCAATCACTGCTCACCTACTTCCCTGCCCTTATTTTGCAATTCTCATTCCATTCCAGCCAGCCACATTGGTTTCTTTATTTTTCCTCCAATATGTCAAGCATGGACATCTACCCTGTGCCTGTTATACTCAGGGTGGCTATGTGTAACCATGCTATATAAAATAACAAACTCTGCCCTCCCTCCCAAATACCCTTTATCTGCTTTCAGTTCAGTCACTCAGTTGTGACCCCATGGACTGCAGCACGCCAGGCTTCCCTGTCCATCACCAACACTTGGAGCTTACTCAAACTCATGTCTATTGTGTCGGTGATACCATCCAACCATCTCATCCTCTGTCATCCCCTTCTCCTCCTGCCTTCAATCTTTCTCAGCATCACGGCCTTTCCCAATGAGTGAGTTCTTCGCACCAGGTGGCCAAAGTATTGGAGCTTCAGCTTCAGCACCAGTCCTTCCAATGAATATTCAGGACTGATTTCCTTTAGGAATTAAAAATAATTAGGAATTATCTGCCTTATTTATCTTCTAAAATTTTAATGTATTTATTTGTTTTTGGCTGTGCTGGGTCTTCACTGCGGTGTGAGCAGGGGCTGCTCTGTAGTTGCAGGGCTCACTAGTTGTGGCTCCCAGGCTCTAAAGCAAGGGCTCAATAGCTGTGGCACACAGTGTTAATTGCTGAGGCATGAGGGATCTTCCCCCACCAGGAATCCAACCCTTGTCTCCTGCATTGGCACCACTGAGCTACCAGGAAAGCCCTGCCTTATTTTTCTTAATGCCACATTTCACAACACTATATATGTACTTAGTTGATAATTGTCTGTTCTCCCAACACCACCACAATGTAAAGTTTATGAACAGGACTCAGCACCAATGAATGAATGAATGCTTTAGGGAAAAATATGAGTCCTTCTTCATTCATTCAACTAATATTTATTGAGACCTTACTGTAGACTAGGCAGTAAACATAGTCAACATTAAATATATAGAACTTGTTAAACGGTTGCATAAATCTAAAATACAAAATCATATGAGTTTTTTTTTTTTAAGAAGTGGGTGGGTTAATCTCACATAATTTTTTTTTTTTTTTTTTTAAGAAGTGGGTGGGTTAATCTCACAGGTAAGTCCAGACTGGAAGCTTTAAGGACAAATCAAGATTTTGAGGGCAGAGCACACTGCCCCTCAGCTATTGCTCAGTGCACCATGATGGAGAGCAACCCTGCCCTGACGATTAGACCTTACCTCCAAAACACTTGTAGTGGGAGTTCACTGACCCTACTCATTCTCAACCGATCCTTTGAATAGAGGTGGGAGGAGGCATACACCTTCGTGGAGGGCAAGTCCTTTCCCTTGCGCAGACACTGTGCAGGCCAGCGGTGCCCAGGACAGTCTGCGGGTCTGGATAGTGACTGCATCCTCCTTGGGCCCTTTTGTGGTTTGCGTAGAGTCAGTGGCGCAGCCCTGTAATGACTGATCGGTTCACAGACCTGTGTTTAACTTGCCATCTATTTTCACAGTATAAAAGGTCAGAGGAAGTGTTCTGCTTCAAACACAGAGACCACCTCTTCACCTGCTAGATGTGGTGCGGAGCTGGCAGGTGGCCGCAGCGAGGGCCTTAGTGACGGGGTGTATCCATTTCCACTGCAGGGAGAACGCGAAGGACAATATGAGCAGGCCTGGGGTGCTGCCTGGGTTTGCATTAAATGTGCGACACCATTTGGCAGTGGTTCCTAACAGCTTCCTGGGAGGGAAGAAGCCAAGGCTAGGGGTCGCTCGTGTAACCCCCTCATGAGCACGTGGTGGGCCAGAAATCCATAAATGTTCTGAACAAGTGAGTGAGCGGTGAATGCCAAGAGGTCTTCCGGCTGGGCTGGGGGAGGGGTGGGGATGCGAAGTGAGGAGCCACCGAGGTCGATCTCCCTTCCGGCTCTCACAGACTGGGAGAGCTGGAGCCGGAATACAGGTTGGGGAGGGAGAAAAGGGCCGAGAGCGCGCGGACTCAGTTAAGACTGCGACAGGGGCCGGGATTAGAGGTGCGCCGGGATGGGCGGGGCTACAAGGCGAGTCGGGGCGGGACTACAGTGGCGGGAAGGGGCGGGGTTACGAGGCGCGCCGGGGGCGGGCTCTAGTGCCACAGGGCGCCCTGCGCCCGGCCCAGAACCAAGCGCGCCGGCGCCGGTCGAGCCGGCGGGGAGGCGCGGCGGCGGCAGCCGGAAGGGCGGGGTAGTCAAGCCTCACCCCGCCTGTCAGCGAGGGCGCCTACGAGCGCAGGGTACTTCTGCTCGGCTCCGTGGGGCTTCCGGGCGTGGGCAGCAATCTGTTAGTGTTCGTCGTCTACCTCAAGTTACCGCGGCTCCGCAACCCCGCCCGCCACCTCCTGCTCCACGTCAGCCTCGGCGATCTGCTACCGTCCGTCCTCCGGGCCGCGCTGGCTTTCTCGTTCGCCCTGAGGGGCAGCAGGGTGGGGAGCACCACGATGGGCGAGTGGGCTTCGGCAACAGCCTGTGAGGTGAGTGATCCGGGCGGACCTCCCTCCCGCTCCTGCTCCCGGCCCCGCCCCCCTCTCGTTTCGGGTCTCAGCCTTGCGGCGGGGCTCCCCTGACTTCACCTCCCACTGACCTCTATTCCTCTGACCTCCCCTCCTGCCCAGCCCCGACTTCTCTCTCTTGATCTCACCGTCCCCCCAATCTCACCCCCTCCGCCCACCTCTCCTCCTCCCCCGCTGACCTCGTCCTCACGCGCTTGCTCTTTCCCGGTGCTCACCAGGCCCCACGCCCACCCAAACCCCAGCCTGTCTGCAGCCCCGGCTCCCCAGTGGCCCCAGTTCCTCCATACCCCATCTCTGGTCGCTGTCCTGCTCCTCTACTTCTCTGCTTTCTGTCTCCACATTTAATTCAACAGGGCACGAGACAGTAGCTTATACACTTTGAGGAAAGAAATTAAGGTCCGTGGGGTTAAGAGATTTCAAGGGCAAAAGTGATTGACTTGTGAAAGTTCGGAGATGGTGATGAGATCTAATCCCTATATTAATTTTCTAAAATGAGAGGTATAAACCTAACATAGTCGCGATGTGTAAATTCTTCTTAAAAAATTTGCCCATCACCAGTTGTAAACCTTTGACTGCTTCCTAGGAAGTGAGATAGTTTTATTCAGGTCCTCAGAATGCACATTGGCATATACCCTATTAGCTATTTTTTCTGTGTTTTCTTCCTTATAGTTTCCAGCACACGAAAGTCTCAGGTGAGATTGCAAATGGATGAGAGAATCCCAACTCAAAATGAACATATAATTAGCTGTGAAACCAGTAGGTTTCATTAAAATAGAACTTGATGATACAGTACTCTTAATCCAGATGCAAGATTTAAGTCTCACTGACACTTGGCATTTTGAGGGATGAACCACCCAGCATTTCATTGAAGACATTATTTTCTAAGGTTGGAAAAGAAATTATCATTTTGTATGTGCTCCAGAAATTTCATTTGTACAAAAGTTTGAAATAGAAATGTATATTTCTCAGGTCTTAAATTTCCTTAAAAATAAAAATCCTGAAATTCATTGATAATTCATTACTGCTTTCATCTTGGCAAGCTTACAAGAATAAGATCTTTGTAGCATTATCAATGGCACCCCACTCCAGTTCTCTTGCCTGGAAAATCCCATGGACGGAGGAGCCTGGTAGGCTGCAGTCCATGGGGTCGCTAAAGAGTTGGACATGACTGAGCGACTTCACTTTTCTTTTCACTTTCATGCATTGGAGAAGAAAATGACAACCCACTCCAGTGTTCTTGCCTGGAGAATCCCAGGGATGAGGGAGCCTGGTGGGCTGCGGTCTGTGGGGTCGCATAGAGTTGGACACAACTGAAGTGACTTAGCAGCAGCAGCATTATCAAGAGTATTTTCTTATTCACCAACCTTCTATGTGATGACAAACCCTGATATTATATTTGTTATGATTCCTTTTTTATATGTTGAGGGACACAAGAAAATGTCATAGAAATCATAATTTTATTTGATTGTCTCAATGATTCTAATATTCTACTACTACCTACCCCTTCCCCAATAAACACTTAAAGTTCTTATCTTCAAGAAGTGCATTTTCTGTGCTGGGAAATTCAGTTTCTATTCTAACTCAGTGCCTGGGAGTTTGGAAACAGGGGTATGTTGAGTTTTCTATTAGTACCAGCATTTGCTTTCTTCCTCATCCCTTCTATCTTGTGGCCTCAACCTACTGTATCTCCTTTTCTCTTCCATCCTCTTCCTCCCTCTTCATCCCTGCTCCATTCCCACCCCAATCTGAAAGGATTTTCTAAGACTGCTAGAAATGTTCATCACACAGTATTTTGCCTGACCACTGTTTTCTTTTTCTGGGCATTTAGTTAGTACTTTCAACAATGACTTTAACCTGCTTTTAAGTTAGAGGTGGAAACGCTGGGACAGAACCTTCTGAGTTTTGTTCAAGCCCTGGGAGACAGATCAATATTGGATTATGATAGAGCTGAAAACATTTTTGTTGTTTAATTGCTCAGTTGTGTTTGACTCTTTGTGACCCCATGGACTGTAGCCCACCAGGCTTCTCTGTCTATGGGATTTCCCAGGCAAGAATACTGGAGTGGGTTGCCACAATCCCAGGGGATCTTCTCAACCCAGGGATGGAACCTGTGTCTCCTGCGTTGACAGGCAGATTCTGGAGTAAATCCCAAACATTGTGCTTCTAGGTAAGAGTTAAAGATAAAGAGAGGGAGGGTGCTTTCCTCATTGTTAGCCCTAAGCAAGAACTAACTAACCCTGGAGTAGAGAAGGGCAGGACATTCTAAAATATCAAAAGTGACTGCTTACTTCAGAGGCTTCTAGAGAGGCTGCTCTGTCAAGTGGAAAGACCACTGGCCTGATGGCATGAGCATGGGTCCCACTCAATCCTGTGGCTAACCCATCATGTGGACTCTCCCAGTCACTTAATCTCTCCAGCCATCAGTTCTCTTACCTAGGGTTACAGGGTAATTGAGCTCAATGTTCTTTAAGGTTGTCCTGTCCTGCCTTATATTACGAGAATTCCTTTGATACCTGTAGGTTAGGAGGTGGCTGGTTTCAGCACTTATGGCTTATATCCTCTCTCTTACTCCCAACCCTCTGCTATATCCCCTTCTAAGCCCAAAATAGGTACATACTATGGTTACGCTTCTTCACATACCCTCATGAGTTCTGTCTTCCTCTCCAAACCCTGCAGGAAGAAAGCAGAATAAGTAATTCACATATATATATGAGTAGGCCAGGCAACCATTTCATTCTGTGCTCAATTCCTGGTTTCTTAGGGAATGCTGAAAGCAAGTGGAATCCCTAATATTCTTCAGTCAGAGGCTTTGATCAGACAAGACAATGAAGATTGCCATCTCACTTAAACTGAACTGTCAATTCAGTGAATTAGTCACTTTAAGTTCCAATTGAATGGCTTGTTATATGGGTATCCAGGATAATTAGTCATCTCAGCCTAGGCAGGCCCAGTATGCACTGATCCAGGTTTCAGTAAGTGTAGCAGTAGGAAAAATCAGAGCTCAAGAAACTCACTCTTACCGTGCAATGATGAGTGATAGAAAGGCCTCCACACATGTGGTATTTGTAATACTTCAGCCTAAGAACTTCCAGGTGAGTAGGCCTTTCAGCCCTTTTGCTATTGTACCTCTGGCCACACCTCTCACCACGAAGGTGTTCTGCACATGGAATGCAACCAGAATGATGCGACAGATTAACAGCAGAGACTTTCTTTACTACCACCTCCTACCCCTTCAAAAATAAGAGCAACAAACAACATGTTAATCTTGGCAGAGGACGTTTAGACAGACCTTCATCTCGAGATGAAGAGATTCAGTGTCAGAGCTAGGGTCTCACAAAAATACACGTCACCCTATGTTGACATGGGTTTTAGAAGCAGTACTTCAGTCACTCAGTTGTGTCCGACTCCTTGTGACCCCATGGACTGCAGCACGCCAGGCTTCCCTATCCTTCGCTATTTCCCAGAGTTTGCTTACTCATGTCCATTAAGTCATTAATGCCATCCAACCATCTCATCCTCTGTCGTCCCCTTCTTCTCCTGCCCTCAATCTTTCCCAGCATCAAGATCTTTTCCAATGAGTCAGCTGTTTTTATCAGGTGGCCAAAGTATTGGAGCTTCAGCTTAAGCATCAGTCCTTCCAATGAAGTAGATGTTATTTTATATTGCAGTATTTTAACATATGGACCCAGGACTTTTCCTTTTTAACTTACACCTAAAAAACACACCTGTGCATATGCACATTTATATAAGGATTTCTTACAAATACGTTTTCAGTAGACTGATTCTTTTATATACCTAAACATTTTAATATGCTAGTTATTTTATTGAATTAATCCTCTTCTGATTATAGCAGTGGCCCATTCAATTGAAATAGTTTCATGTTGTTCCCATAAGAACCTAAGGGTGGGTGGGGCATGAGAAAGTCTTCTATTCATTTTTCTTAGAAGCATCCAGAGACAGTATGGGCCACAGAAATATGCATAATCACAGCAGCATGCACATAGTATATAGTATGTTTCCATAAACACAGTGGAGCCACATGTTACTTGCAATTTAATCTCCTAGTTGTGTACCATTTATTCAAATACTTAAAACCAAAAGTTATAGAATTGTATTATGCCAATTTTTTATTTTGGGGGGAATGTTGTTATATCCATTCTTCATTGTTGAATTGCCTGACTTGCAGGAGTCTATATCTTTTGCTTATTTTCAAGAAGTTAGAAAAAAACATGTGAGAAAGCATGTAATGACTTGCTTTAGTAGAATTTTATGTCCTGATATCAGGTCGTGCTCCATAGGATTATAATTATTGATGCTTGAAAATACTGTTCTCTTAGTATTGTTTATAATTGTATTCTTTCTTGAATTTTCTCCTTTCAGAGCAGAATTCCATTCACAAATGCATATGTGATACATTTTGACATTCGCTGCTAAGATGAAACACAGAAATGAACACCATATACTTGTTTTATTATTCTCAGATATTGGATGTACTTTATCATGGTTTTATGCTACTGACCTATAAGAAAATAATACTAAAAAAGGGTAGCAGTAGAATACCTGGGACCTGCAACTTCAGTATTTCTGGGATGATCTGGAATATCACAAGGAGAGATTTTATTACAGCATATTCACACCTTCTCTGAACCCTCAGCCCAGATTCATACACATTTTCTTCATTAGAAGTTGTCACCAGACACTTTTCTAGGATGGCCAACAGTCTCCCAACAGAGTTTGATGTGATAGTGATGGGGACAGGTCTGCCTGAATCCATCCTTGCCGCTGCATGTTCCAGAAGTGGTCAAAGGGTTCTGCATCTTGATTCAAAAAGTTACTATGGGGGAAACTGGGCTAGTTTCAGCTTTCCAGGATTGCTGTCCTGGTTGAAGGAACATCGGCAAAACAGTGACACTGGGGAAGAAAGCCCTGCTGCATGGCAAGACATGATCCATGAAACAGAAGAAGCCATCCCTCTTTGCAAGAAGGATGAAACCATTCAACACGCTGAAGTTTTCTGTTATGCCAGTCAGGGCATGGATGGCAATATTGAAGAGCTTGATGCTCTGCAGAAAAATCCTTCCTGTGTAGCATCTAGTACCCTCATAAAACCTCTGAATTCTGCATGCTTGTCTGAGGAAACACACTCATCACACGTTACTAGCTATGAAGTGCCTACACAAGACACTCCAAAAAACAATGAAGAAATAACTGATACAGCAGAAGCTTCTGTGAAAGAAGAATATTGTGGGTATAATACTTATAAACACACAGTTTCAGATGGCACTAAAGATGAAATCAAACCTGCATTGGAAGACAACAGTGTGCCACCAAAGAGAAAGAGGATTACTTACTCTCAAATAGTTAAAGAAGGCAGGAGGTTTAATATTGATCTGTCATCGAAGCTGCTTTATTCTCAAGGACTGTTAATTGATCTGTTAATCAAATCAAATGTTAGTCGTTACGCAGAATTTAAAAATGTCACTAGGATTCTTGCATTTCGAGAAGGAAAAGTAGAGCAGGTGCCTTGTTCCAGAGCAGATGTCTTTAATAGCAAAGAGCTCAGTATGGTTGAAAAGAGGATGCTAATGAAATTTCTTACGTTTTGTTTAGATTATGAACAACATCCAGAGGAATACCAAGCTTTCACACAATGCTCATTTTCAGAGTACTTGAAAACCAAAAAATTAACCCCCAGCCTCCAACATTTTATACTTCACTCGATTGCCATGACGTCAGAATCATCTTGCACTACAGTAGATGGCCTTAAAGCAACAAAAAACTTTCTTCAGTGTCTTGGACGGTTTGGCAACACTCCCTTTTTATTTCCCTTATATGGCCAAGGCGAAATTCCCCAGTGTTTCTGCAGGATGTGTGCAGTTTTCGGTGGAATATATTGTCTTCGCCATAAAGTACAATGCCTTGTAGTTGACAGAGAATCTGGAAGATGTAAAGCAATTATAGATCACCTTGGTCAAAGGATCAATGCTAAATATTTCATTGTGGAGGATAGTTACCTGTCTGAGGAAACATGTTCGAGTGTGCAGTACAAGCAGATCTCCAGGGCAGTGCTCATTACGGATCAGTCTGTCCTAAAGACAGATTCAGATCAGCAGATTTCCATTTTGACAGTACCTCCGGTGGAACCAGGAGCACATGCTGTCCGAATCACTGAATTGTGTTCTTCAACCATGACATGCATGAAAGACACCTACCTGGTACATCTGACCTGTTCATCTTCCAAAACAGCAAGAGAAGATTTAGAATCAGTGGTGGAGAAATTATTCACCCCGTATTCTGAGACAGAAGTAGACCAGGAAGAACTTCCAAAGCCAGAACTCTTGTGGGCTCTTTATTTTAACATGAGAGATTCCTCGGGAGTCAGCCGAAGCTCTTATAGTGGCTTGCCTTCCAACGTTTATGTCTGCACTGGGCCTGACTGTGGACTCGGAAGTGAGCATGCCGTCAAGCAAGCTGAAACACTCTTCCACGAGATCTTTCCAAGTGAAGAATTCTGCCCCCCACCTCCAAATCCGGAAGACATTTTCTTTGACAGTGATGAAAAGCCAGCAGAGCCTCTTGGAACCAATAATATAATAATGGCCAAACTAGAATCCTCTGAAGGGAGCAAAAACCTAGAAAGTTCAGGGAAGCACCTTCAAAACTAGAACGAAAAAAAACAAACTGGAAATGCTACTTTGGGTCTTTGTCCTGGCATCAGAATATTCTCATTTAAAGGACAGTTTCCTGTATGAGTAATTAGATGTGTTTATATGATGAATGCCATGCAGATGTTGTTTATAATTCTCTTTGTGACTTTCAGTCATTGGATGCCTTTGTTAACCTATCAGTAACTGATTTATTGGTTATTGGACTTGCTTTTGTTTCAGAATGGGCTCCATGACCCAGAATTAGATTTATTTTAGTACTGGGTATATATGTGAAAATTCCATGTTAGCAGTGGTGCTTAAAGGAAAATGATATTAAATCTGCTGATTACCTTCAAATTTCATTATTGTCTACAGAATGGTGGTATCTAAAGAATATTTTAATTATTTTTACAGCTATTACAGTTGCTACCACCTCTGAGTAGTGAAACACACACAGAGGAAATTATGTGGGTCTTTTGTTTATAATATAAACATATAGATATGGTGGCAGCAATAGCAACTAATGCAAGTGCCAATGTGATAAAATATGTTTGTAATTGTTGGAAGAATAGTTTTGCATGATCTTTTATTTGTGAAGGTGATGTTTAGAATGCATCTTGCAGTTTAATTCTCCTGCTTGACCCTTGTAATCAATGAGGTAGTGATGTCACCCCAGTCTTATACATTGGAAAAAGTCAGAGAGTTCAGTTAGTAGTTGCAAAGCTCATTCTTGGGAGGTTTGGTCCAGAGAAAATCTAGGGGGAAAGATTAGTTCTGGTTCAATACTTTAGAAAATTTCTGCAGAGCACTGCTCTGGCACCAAAGAAAAGAACTTCTAAGTAATTCAGGCTAAAGAAAAAATAAACTGCTCCAGGAAAAGATATTTCAGAATGCCTGTTCTGAAATTGCTAAGGGGAAACTGAGTGAAGCATTTTTAACCTAGGATTACAGATGGTTTTAAAAATCCATCTGTGAGTAGATTTCCCAAGATTTCTCAATGAAAGTGAAGCACACCATTTTGTTGGCCCCACCACTTTAATTAGTAACACTGCAGTTGTTAGAGGAGTAAATCAGAGGAAGCTTTACCATGTCCCTTTGGCTGTGTCCCAGCAAGTAACAAGGTGGACACCTTCATAATCAGCTCCTGCCTCTTAGCTGTTATCTAGAAGATAGAAACATTTTTTTCCAGAACCACCAGAAGTTATAAAGCTGCTTATATTCTAGCAGGGCAAGCTTGTGGAACTGTCAGAAGAAGTAAACTTCCTTCCTAAGTCACCATTTCCATTCCTCAGACAGAGAATGATAATCCTATAGGAAATAAGCCCTTTAATTACAATTTTTTGCCCTAGCACAGAGCATTTACTATGTGCTACGCACTTATTGTACTCTCTCATTGTAGTTTCTCAACAACTCTGTGAGGCAGATAATACATTTTCAGAGAGGAAATAAAGACAATAATTCACTCTGAGTTGGGTTTGTGGCAGAGCCAACATTGAAATCCAGGCTTTCATGATTTCAAAATCTTTCAACTAATGTTAACTATTAGAAGAGTGTAGGCACTGAAGGAGGAAGAAGAGATTACTGGCTCATGAGAACCAGTCCAGCATTGCTAGTGAAGCAAAGTAGGCAGACATCTCAGCTTATTACTGAGTCCGAGAAATAGGAAAGTAAAGATTAATTAAAAATACATGTAACTTAGAGCTGTGGATCTCACTGAAGTAGAATTTGTCTAAGCTTTAACACAATTATTCTTTTTAATTTATCTTTTGATTATGATGTTATAAGAAGTAACATGTTACTAGGGCAAAATATGCTCTAAATAGACTTTTGTTGCTCTTCTATATGTGAGGAAAATGAAACAAGAGCAATTTAAGTAAATTTCAACTTACTGAAGTAGAGAAGTCATGGATTGATATTAATATGTATATTTTGAATCTGTTATTGCAAATATGTTATTGGTTGGCTTCTAGGCTTATACTTATCAAAACAACTGAAATGTCTGAAATAGACTGAAAAATTAGTTATTAAAATGTAAAAGAATTTGAGATATTAAATTAAATGGAAGTGAAAGTAATCCAGATCTATTGAAAATATTTTAATTTCAATATGAGGAATATTTTTATTCATAAGAATTTGAGAATATCAATGAGATGTTGCAAAAGATGATAGAACCACAGTAATAGAAACAGGAAAATGTTAGATTAGATAAAATAAGGGTTTTAAAAACTAACAAATGAACTTATTACTTTCCTACTTGAATACAGATAAATTGGAAATAAAATATTGTTACCAAAGAAAAGCATTTTAAAAATTAGAGGAGAGTATAATTTTCTTTTCATTCTTTTTTTTTTAAGATTTATTTTAAAATCTTTATTTTAAAGATTTATTTTATTTTTTGATGTGGACCATTTTTTTAAAGCCTTACTGAATTTGTTACAATATTGCTTCCTTTTTATTTTTTGGTTTTTTGGCTGTGAGGCATACAAGTGGGATATTAGCTCCCCAACCAGAAATTGAACTCACACCTCCTGCATTGGAAGGAAAGTCTTAACTGCTGGATCACTAGGGAAGTCCCAGACTAGTATAATTTTCTGAGAAATCCATTTTACTCTTATGGGCTTATTGGTGAACTTTTTCAAATGTTCAAAGAATAAATAATATCTATGTACCAGAAAGATGATGTACTAACACTTGCATTTTGAAGTTAATATGGCCTCAGTACTAGGAGGAAAACATTTTGAAAAGGGTCTCATCTGAACAAATGCAAAATATTAGCAAATGAAAAATAGTTATTTACTGTCACTCAGAATTATGCGATTAGTGTTCAACAGAATAACTATTAAATCAATATCAACAGAACAAAGTAAAAATTCAAAGTGTATTAATATTAATAAAAATTTTTATTTATCTCTGTTAATGACTTTGTTGGTTTCTCATTGTGATAAGTAATTATTAAAACCAAGAACTTATATCATTCCTGTTAGGGAAAAATAAGAAACAATTCTCAACCAGAAATTAAATAATCTTGGCACTATTTTTTATATATAGCTGAAGAAAACTCATCATTGTAATAAATCCTTAATAAGCATATGTAAATGAGAAAGATAAGCACAAATATTTTCTATTAACATGGCTTTTAAACTAGTGAGACCTGTAGTATCATAAACATAAAAGACTAATTCAGAAAATTGCAGGATATATAGCATTTAAAAATTAATCTTATTTCTAGATTCCAACAATTTAAAGTGTTTGGGTATTAGTATATGCAAGCCATTTAAAGAAAGTTACACAACTATGTTGGGATAAATTAAGAAAGATGCTTATGTAGAAGCAGACTGAAGGAACTACATTCTAGTATAATGGAAGGGAAGTAAATAGGAAATCTGAAAACCAAAATTGTAGTCCTCACTTTACTACTTACAGTTGTATAATCATGGGAAAATCATGCCTACTTTTCATTTCATCATCTATAAAGTAGAGATAATGTTTTCAGAATTATTGTGAGGATTAATGTAAATAAAATTATGTCCAAAGAACTGGCAATAAGGTGAAGTTAGTATGTAAATTTGCTACACTTCCACTTAACATGGATGGATGGATGATTTATATAATTTGACAGAATTATTATAGTTTAGGCTAATAAGCAAGCAAAGATATGCCTTTTTAACTTAGGAGGAAAAAGGGATTCTTGCATTCCAAGAGATGGGGTAAAACCTACCTGCATTATACAAGGATAAAGTACTCTGTTTTTTAAAAGGTAAATGCAAATCCATAAGGCTTACTAGGCAAATTTATGAAAGAATTAAGTTCAAACAAGAAGATAACAAATAGAAGTCAATTCTTAGAATGGTATTCAGATTTCCTAATGTCAAAAATGCAAACTAAGCAACTTTGACATAGTTCATGCAAAAAAATTTTAATTGCATGTATCCTCGTACCAGTAGCATTATTATATTAGTTTTTTGAAGAACTATTTAGAAAAATATAAGAACCCTATAACCACTCTGTCTTTTGATAGATCTAACTCACTCTGAGTAGCATATGCCCAGGAAAATATTTTAAAAGAAAAAAAGGCTATTTGTATAAAGATATTTCTAGTGAGTGCATTCATTTGAATTTTTAAAAGAGCCCTGTAATTGGGAACTGGATAAGTAAATTTTCATGTATTACTATTGCTTTCATAGATTGTTATATAGCCATTAATAGTATTGATATATGTAAAACTGTATGGGAAATGTTTAAATGAGCCTCGAAAGTGTTAAGTTATTGTATTTACTGATTGTGTAAAAATTAAGGTCTCTACTTTGGAAAGAATCAGAATAAAGCATTGTAATTAGAGTTTAATATTAAGAGGCTCTTTTTTTCTATAAAATATTGATGTGTGAAATAAAAAATAAAAGATTAATTGATAAAATGGTTTACTGGATTGGAGACAATATTGATTTCTTGGAAACTTCTAAAATTCTCCTTTAAATTAATATATATTTAAATGTTAGTGTCAAAAGATAATCTTCAAAAGCATGGACAGAAAGTTTTCCAACTCTTGTGGTCAAGGTGGATTTTGTGTCTTTTGTATCTTTTCTTAGTTGCCCAGCATTAAGGTGTACTTTGACTATAGATAGACTTTTTTTTTCCCCCCCAATGGGAACCTCAGAACCAGAGGTGGAAATAATAGAAATGATATTAATACATTCCAGGACATCAGCATGAAGCCATTGTATTGAACACACATTGTATTCACACATTCACACAATTCACATATTGTATTCACACATTAAAGTGTGTGAAAGTCACTCAGTTGTGTCCGACTCTTTGTGACCCCATGAACTGTGCAATCCATGGAATTCTCCAGGCCAGAATACTGGAGTGGGTAGCGGTTCCCTTCTCCTTTCCCTTCTCTGGATCTTCCCAACCCAGGGATCGAACCCAGGTCTTCCACATTGCAGGCGGATTCTTAACCAGCTGAACCACAAGGGAAGCCCCACACTAATTAAAAGTATCACCCCAAATCCAAAAACAAACTTCATTTTGGAGTCTTGGAGGCCAGGGGAATGAACGTTGGGTTTGGACTGGCAGTGAGAAATGAAATATTTCCTACCATA